GTTGTTGTTGTTGTTCTTATTAGAGCCCATCCATTTAGTACGTACGTTTGGAGGGGGGAGAGGGGGGGTTGACCCAAATGCGCACGCTTGCGTATGGGGGGCCTACTGACAACGTACGCATAGGAAACAGGGCGGGGGGGTGAAGCCCCGATAATAATGTGTCTACATTGGCCTTCAAATGAGTTAGATAGTCCGGCGGTGGACTATCTGTTTGTTTAAACACGTTAATATTATTAATCCTTGTTTGTTTCTGCGTGGATTAAATATCGGCCGTTCTATAGGATTCGGGGGGGGGGGGGGTGCGTCAAGCGTACGTACGCAGGTGGGGGGGGGGGGGTTAAAAAGTATGCGTACATACAGTGAAGGGGGAGGGGTCATGTTTTGACAAATTTTTGCGTACATACTAAATGGATGGCCCCTTATTGTAGGTGGCTGAAACCCAGATATCATGATCTCAGTGGTGCTGGTTCAGTGTCCTGAACTATAACACTGGTCTACAGCCAAAATGCTTCCACCTCAACCGTGAGTAGTCCAACTTTACTTATTCTGGCTCACTGAGAATTAAAATTATGCTTAAAATTGTTGATTGGCTTTAGTTTTCAAGATATGCTACTGGGTCAGTATATACGACCCTTGACTTGGGAATGGCGGAGGATAAGTGAGTTATAAAGGGAAGGGATCTCAATTTAAACCAGAAATGACTAAATTACATCTTTGACTGGATCTATTAATAATTCTATGACTGGGTTTGGACAGTACTTGCTTTTTGAGCAAAACAATGAATGATGCAATCTGAAACTGGTATTGTATCATACATGATATAAATTGCATCATGTTATTCTTAGAAGTCATGGATGATGCAATAATAACTCGGCTGAACAAATTGCCCTATATCAGCTCTAGAAATCATACAGTGTCGTGCTCTTTATTGGTCAGTGTTTGATTTAGCAAAGGGACACTTTTCTGTTTAGCCAAAGTGAACAGAGATGCCTCGTACTTGTGTGAACAAAGCAGATAACTTCTGCTATGTTTGTGGCAAAGTGACTTTTGCATCACAAAAGCGCAGTATAACCACTGGTTAAGAAAGCCTATTGCCTTTATTTTGCCTGCTAAATTGTAGATCTGGACAAGATGTGGGCCTCACACATATGCTGCAACACTTATGCTACAAATCTTCACCAGTGGTTGAACAGGAAAATGGAATCTATGCCTTTTGCAGAGCGATTTCACCAGGACATTGCAACAATGAAGAAACGCTATCAGGGCAAATGGAGCCCATCAATGCTTGAATACTATTCCTGGACAGTGACAAGAGATGCTCCATTGAATGAATACAAGAGACAAGCCAAGAAGTGCCGAGTAGACACTGAATAAGGACTAAACTATGTTCTTATATATGCATAATCGTTTTTTTGTATTTTTGGTTATCCCTGCTATGTAATGTAAGGTGATGGTTTTGATTGGATCTTCAGATGGCTCCTTCCTCAAGGTTGGGGTGATGGCTTGGCGGATTGTGTAATCTTGAACAAACACAAGATCCAGGTCCGATTTAACACAGTGCACAAAATTCGTGACCTGATCCCATCTGTGAAGGACAAGATTCCTGACATGCAATATCCCGGCGTCTACAAACTAAGCTGTTCCTGCAGCAGTTACATTGGGGAAACCAAACGACATGTCTCGGACCGTGTTCGTGAACACAATGCAGATCTAAAACATGTCAGGACCAATACTTCTGCCGTAGTTGATCATTACTTTAATGCGGCTGGCTCACATGAAATTGATTTCTCTAAGACGATGGTACTTTGCAAGCCGACTGGCTATCAACAGATTCGTTCACGAAGCCATTCATATATACAGACACATACACAATTTTAACCGAGACGACGGTTTTAAACTCAGCAATCATTATAAATATGTCATCAACCACTTTGGGTCATGACTTGATTTGTGTTTACTTGTCAACCTCTACCGTCAGCAGTGTGGATGGGTGTAGCGAGGTGCAATGCCCCCCCCCCATCTCTACCCCCCTTCCCCCCCATCTCTGCCCCACCCCCTCTCTCTCCCCCTGTGCTTGTCTCTGCCCCCTTCCTCCCCCCCCATTGTCTGCTACTGGCTGCCCTGTCCATGCTGTTTGCGCTGCACAAGCTCACCTCCGCCAACTCCTCCTTTGTGTTGCTCCTGCATGAGCGCGCTGCTGCTGCCACAGCTCGTGTTGCTTGTGCAGCTCTTACCGCCGCCCACTCACTCTGGAGCCCTTATCAGCAGCTACATTTGGAGGCTTGCCCCCTCTTTTCTCTCCGCCTGATGAAGACTGCTTGTGTTGCGATCGAAACGTCGTGGGTTTTTTGCTTTTATTATTTTCATTTTATCATTTTTATTTTATTTTAAATAAAACATAATTTTTTTTCTATTTACGTGACTTTACCGAAAGAACCAAGAATATGAATTCCTGCAGTCACGAAAGTTTTAAGTCGAGTTTTTTTTAAGTGTTACATGAACAGGACAGGTGACATTATCATGTAGAGCAACCATAAACACATGAAAAGACCTAAGTTTACACTTTGTGTAAAACTCTACTATTTACACAATATACATAGACGTAAAATGTAAAAACTTAAATATCTTGTTAACAGTAGCCAATCAGTTGTTTTAATTGTCATGTTTGAGTTCAGCACGTCAAAATCCATAATAAACGTTACATTTTGTCTGAAGCAGACGACGTCTAAAACATTATAGACCAGTGTAACATATGCAGCTATCTCCACTTATTTTTTCTGTTAAGTCTCTGGATAGTTTTATAATAATTATTATTTATAGTAGGTGATAGATGAAAGCTTAAGTAATCAGCATCACCTTCACCTTCCAAAACATTAATGAGTAGACTAACACCGGCATGTCTTTATTATTGTCCTTTTGGCTCCCAAAACATCGCATCCGATTTATGAAACGATGAAGCCATTTGTTTTATATTAATTCAGTCCGAGTGGCATAAAAGTGTCTCTTTACCCAAACATGAGATGGTGCTCCTATGTACCGGTGTCATTGTGCAAGTGGTATACACCCTTTAGTGCTATGGCTGGGATTTAGTGGTATTCATTTTATTGATTGCCAAGAGAAACATTTCCTGATTTGGCCCCTAGCCTGGATTTGAACTCATAACCTATCACATCTTCTGACCACGGCACCAACATGTGACCTTAGCACAGGACAAAATAATAATGGATGTTATTTTAACGGGCCTGTCCCATGCAATAAATATTACATTTTGGGTTAAAATAGATGTTGCCATTCTGAGACATATTACGTAATGTGTTGTGTCTCTGATGAACAGTAACGTTGACTGTGTATGTTTCATATTGATTTGTTGTTGCTGGATAGATGACCGACCTGGGCCTATTCCATAATAGCCAGGTTAGATCATCTTTTTCTGCTATGCTTTTTTTACGGTTGCTTCATTTTAACAAGAGGATAAATCTGCTTCAATATTGAAAATGCTATCCTAATATGGTACTATACTATTTCACATTTTTGTTTCGACAAGGATTGCTCCGTTTGCAAATACAGAACGAGGCAGCTATGCAGCTCGCATGCTATGTAAAGGTCCAACTTTGTAACGCTACCATTGGCGGACAGGCGTCCACTAGAGGGAGCTCCAGGTAGCTCCTCTAGAGGCTGTTTGGCCGACGACTCCACACTGGCCAAAGATCTTGGGGGGAAAAGGTGTGATGCTCACACCTTACCCATCACTATATGCACATACCTCAGTATTCGCTGTGCTGTAACCATTTATACTGCTGGGTGGACACGGGTGGGGGGGGGGGGCAATTGAACAAGCGTGCCCATTGTTTCATTGGCCTCGCCGGGAGAATGAACCGGCGACCTCTGGGGCGCAGGTTCAGAGTGCGAAGCATTACACCGCGGCAGTAGTTTCTCCTACTTCTTCAGAAGACTCGATTAAGTTTCCTCGGTTTAGTTTTTTTTTCCACTGAACTCTATGAAGCATAACTATGGCTAATTTACCGTAGGCAGCTCGTGGTGACCCAGACCGCTGAAAAGCACCAGTCATGGAGGTCTAATTTGTTTATATACAAGTCTGTGCATTCTAGTGTGCATAGCATGTGATCTCTGTTCATGCCAGTGAGGTCATATATCAGCCAGTTTCCCCTCCCACCCTCTCCAAATTGTGTCATGTTGTTAAACATTTTAAGTGAGGGCTTGTAATTTGATGTTTGAAATTGTTTGAACGGGAAATTTTATTTACAAATGCACAACTACACATCACATGCAGACTTCGTCTGTGCTGTAATTATTGCATCAGTGCCACTTGGTCGGATGGCAAACAAGGATTAAATGTAGGGCGTTGTTTATCCGATGGGTCGACTTGCACCCTTTGCTGAGGGCCGCCAATAAAGCTGAGTGCTGGCGCAAACCCTTTGAGGCAGGGACCATCCTCCAATGGTGTTGTGACACAGTGCGGCTGTCCTGCTTTAACTAAGCACAGTATAATGATTGTGTATGTATCTATATTGAAGTTCTTTCGAACCGTATGTAGCCAACCATGCTAATTGGAGGTCCTGGGCCTTTCCTAGGTTGACTCAACCTCAAATGAGTAACTGGCTCGGTGTGTAAACATCGCTGACCAAATCACACTGGTCAAATCTTGGAAGTGGGGTTGAGTCTAGATATCAGTTGGATGGACGACCAACAATCACAACGGGTGTCATTGGCTGCTGCGACGCTATGTTGTGAGCACATCAGGGCAGCGAAGCAAAACCCATTTCTTTACTGTCCACCTCCACCTACACGCATTGCCCAGCACGGTGGACAAATGGCCACTACAACCCACAGTGCATAGGCGAGGGCCCTCGTCCCGTAGTGCTGTTGACAAAAGGGTGACGTTTGCTTTTGTGAGTTTTTAGCAATGAGGATGTGAGCAGAGCTTCGTAGCTAACATCCCCATCAATGTGTCCACCCCCTGTTTGTCTGTAAACCTGCAGAGGGGCTACGGTGCCCAGCGAGAGGGGCTGCTCGCGCTGACGCTGGGCTCCGTGCTGCTGCTCGGCCTGCGCCTGCGCTGGATGTGCGGCGGCCCCCCGAGCTTCTCGGGCTCCGACAACCCAGCGGCTGACTCACCGGACACGCTCACGCGGGCCCTCACCTTCCACTACCTCCCGGCTGCCAACGTGGCACTGCTGCTGTGCCCGGCCACGCTCAGCTTCGACTGGTCCATGGACGCCGTGCCGCTGGTGCGCTCCCTGCGCGATCCCCGCAACGTCGCCACCGGCCTCCTCTACCTGGGTCTGGCCGCCTTTCTGTGGTGCATCCTCTGTGGCCTCAGGGTAATGTCCATCCCCCTCACTCTCTCCTGTGCAGCCGTCTGTGCTGTACCGGTCTTCATAGGTGCTCGCTAACAGCACTTGCCCCAACAGTTTGTTAATTCTATACGGGGATTTATGTCTTTGTGTGTGTGTGTGGGAAGCGGTGGTGTCGTGGTTAGCACACTGCGCTTCAAACTTGGCAATAGGAGTTTGATTCCTGCTAATGGCCAACACCATTGACGATTAACTGAACCGGTTCTGGGCCTCCCTTAGGTCGACTCAGCCTCAAAAGCGGTCAAGCGTGGTCCTGGCCACTCACCCCTTTGTGTGAAATGCCAGTCTTCATGGGTGTTCACTAACAGCCCCCATAGTCTGTTTAGACTATACAGGGGATAATTGTCTTTGTGTGCATAAGCTTGCACTTTATTGAGCATAGTTTCACTGCTGATGAGAGTAATCTTGATTTGTTTTTGATAAAGTTCCCTTCACGTCGGGCCATTTCAAACTGCTTTACATGTGATACGCGACTCATATCGCATGTCATCTCAGAGATTGTAGGGGCACCCCTAGTGGCAGCTGTCCCCTGTGCGGCACAAGGTGACTCAGCACCTGAACCTGCAAGCAGGGGGCGATCATTGCTCCGAGTAATCCAGGCGGTTGTGCTATATAGCGCTCTGACGTGTTTTTGGGTTGTGCCATGCGTTGTTAGAGTTTTGGCAGCGCTGGGTCAGTGGTGTTCATGCCCCATTTCAATTATGGAGCCACAATGACCTATTAAGCCCCTTTCTTTAAATGTCAACTTTCTGGGACAAATTGATAAAACAGTTGGAAGCCAGTAGTTTAGTAGTACCCTGCAGGCAGGGTTGGCAAATCATGCATAGATGAATTCTGCAAGCTAATGAGATGGATTTTAAGACAGCAAATTATATTTATATGTCTTACATTATTCACCTCTGATTGCTTCCATTCCCACCTGTTTGAAAACAACAACAAAAACGTAGGTTTGAAGCATTCGTGACTGCAAGGATTCATACTTTTAGGTTTTTTCGGTAAAGTCCCGTAGGTAAAAATAATAATAACAATTATAATAAATAAAAATAAATCAATTAATTGATTTGAAAATAAATCAAATAATGTATTTATTTTAATTTATTATTATTTTATGTTTTACTTTTATTATTTTTACCTACGTGACTTTGCCGAAAAAACCTAAAAGTAACAAAAACACGATTGGATCAACCATACAGTTCCAGATGCTCTTGTTTCAGTTTGATCCTTCAGGGGAAGTTAAAAGAGTACCACTTTGTAGGTCATTATCTGGATAGGCTGGTCATGCCATGGGAATTAAGAATTTGCACCATGCCTGAGGGCTGCCAACAAAGAGTGGAGTGCTGCCTCAGTGCTTCTTTGATCAGAGACACTTCTCTAATATATATGAAACATTTTTCCTAACATCCAAACGCTTGCGTCCACAGCACAGAAAACGTGCATACAGAGGCGGACAGCCCCTATTGCACAAGAGCAAAACGAACGGCGTGAGCTGCTCGGAGCATGGGGACGGCAGTGCCAATAGCGGTGCACCACCACCACCACCATCGCCGCCGCCGCCGCCGCCATCGCCGACCACCGCCGTCGTGAAAAACGGCAGCAGGAAGTCCAACGGCGTCGCAGGGCCCGAGGGCAGGCGGGCACCGCGCCCCCGCTCGGAGCGGACGCTCAACGCGGCCATCGCGTCGCTGGCGATGCTGGTGCTGCCCTTCGTGCCGGCCACCAACCTCTTCTTCTACGTGGGCTTCGTGATGGCCGAGCGGGTGCTCTACATCCCCAGCATGGGCTACTGCCTGCTGGTGGCGGCCGGCGCCCGGGCACTGGCGAACGCCGGAGGCGCCGCCTCTGCCGCCGCCACCGCCGCAATCGCCGCCGGCGCTCCCTCCCCCGGTTCTGGCCGGCGACGGCGCAGGCTGCGGCGCGTGCTGCTCGGCGCCGTGACCGGCGGGCTGTTGGCGGTGCACGCGGCGCGCACCGTGCACCGCAACCGCGACTGGGCGAGCGAGGAGGCCCTCTACCGCGCCGGCATCGCCACCAACCCCGCCAAAGGTGCGCTGCTACGTGCGCCGCGTGGGTTGTCGCTGTGCCTCGGGGGTTTGCCACCCGAGCAGGTGCTTTTGCCATGGTTTGTCGTATTTTTGGCAGCAATTGTTCTGAGATCTCTGAATCTGTTAACAAAAAAATACATTTCCACTGGGGAGACAAAGGCGGTCGGGCGTGGTGCTGGCCACCCACCCCCTCGTGTGTCGTGCCGGCCTTCATAGGTGGTTGCGGACAGCACTTGCCACAACAGTATGTTAAGGCTATATGGGGGATCTTTGTCTTTGTTGGAATGATGCAATTTCAAGTCGACTGAAGTCCCTGGCAGAGGCGTCACTTTGCTGCTCTGCCAGCATGAGAGGTCACTCTGAAAATCAATGGTCTCATTCCGTCTGCAGGTGTTGGGAACATAAATTGAGAACAAAGAGACACATTTTGGCCATTAGAGAAGGAAAACAAACCTTTGCGTGTTTAAAAGCAGAGTCCAACAAATCACTGGGCAGGAATGCGGACGAAGGGATGTGCATGATAGCCGCTGCCTCAGTGCGAAAGTGCATACTTAGACCACAATTTGATTATAAGTGCTGTGTATATATATTTATGTAAAGAGTTGGACAATCAACTCGCTCGAGTTTATTTTCATCCCATTGAACAAGGATAACAGTAAAGAGTAAAAATAAAAACGCAAGCAAACAATTTTGTAAGCGCTTAGGAAATGATTTAAAGGTTTTTTAAGCAGTAACATTTGGATGGGTCTCTCCCCTCATTGAGGAATGTGGACGGTGATTAATTTGTGTTTTCTTCTGCCGTGAAATTGACACGCGGACATGCCAGCCTGTATTCATTGGCTGAGGAGGGACCCTGTGGGTTTGTGTGATTAAGGAGAAATCAGTTTCATGTCTAAGTCTCCACGGAACTTAAATAAACTAACCACAATCTGTCGACATTGTTTATGCTTAGGAATATAATTACTTTTACACAACGCTATGTATCAGCGCTTTTGTGGGTGTGGATCTTGCACTTTCATCTCAGATAGATTCTAAGTGTGGGGGAGTGTTTAGGGACAAAAAAGTGGAACAAGTTCAACCTCGCAATAATATTTGTGGTCATCACCAGCCATTATTGTCCTTTACATAGCCAGGTGGAAGCCCAGTGAAGATATTTTCTTATTCAAAATCAGAACACATTCTTGTGGAGGGAGCTGGTAGGAACGTTGGGTTGCTAGGTCAATGACCAGGGTCAACGGTGGCATGGTGTATTCCGCAAATATGCCCGACTGTGAGGGCGGGCACAAGCCGGCGTGAGTAGGTTAAACATTGAGTTTTATAAGGGCACCACGGGGTGACCAGCCCCTCCCCAACCAGCCCCACCTCTCCCACCCCCCACCCAGCCCCACCTCTCCCACCCCCCACCCAGCCCCACCCTCCCCACCCAGCCCCTCCCCACCCTCCCCACCCCACCCAGCACCACCCTCCCCAACCAGCCCCTCCCCACCCTCCCCACCCAGCCCCACCCTCCCCACCCAGCCCCTCCCTGCACGACGGACGGACACAATAATCCCCTATGGGCTGGTGTAACCAGGTGGTTCCTACCAGTATTATGTATTTATACTGGAGGAATCCGATGAGCTTTAAAGCTCTTTTTTAAATCCTTTATATTAAGTTCACTTGCTTGCTTGCGTGCTTGCGTGCTTGCTTGCTTGCTTACGAGCGTGTAAATCTTTTGGTCGTTTTTTAACCCACTTTCCGTGATCCAATCGAGTTGACATTTTCCACACAGACTCGTTGTGCGTGACAATTAATGTTCGTGAAAAAAAATTCCCAAAATTTTACACTTTTTAGGCAAAATTTTTTTATTTTACATATATTCAAATATGACTCATTCATGGCTTTGGCTGAACGTCACAGTGTAAGTGCCCAGAGCGTAACCCCTCCACAGGCCGTGGCGGAGTAGCGCAGTTGGTAGCGCCCTCGCTTCCCATGCCAAAGGTCGCGGGATCGATCCCCGCGTCCTCCACAGGCGAATATATTTTTAAATCCTTTATATTAAGTTCGCTTGCTTGCTTAGGACTGTGCAAATCTTTCGCTCGTTTTTTAACCCACTTCCCGTGATCCAATCGAGCTGACATTTTCCACACAGACTCGTTGTGTGTGACAATTAATTTTCGTGAAAAAAAATTCCTAAATTTTACACTGTTTAGGGAAAACTAATTAAATACTTAATTACCAATTGCTTAATGGTGGCAGACAATCATCTGACCCATAGGTGGCAGCCATCTCAAGCCAGAGGACGAGATGACTCTAGCCGCCACGCATATAAAGGATTTATAGTGAAAAACTTTGTTTTTACGGGTTTACTTGTCACAGATGACCAGTGGAGAGATATTCACAAGTGATGGCAGTGTAACTCTTATTATTTTATGCACAGGTATGTTCATTATGATAATTTAGTTGTACTTTTAAACCTTTGTACTTGGGATTTGTGTAATGTTCAGGCATAATAGTGACCTGCTCTTTTCGATGATGTCACAGGCTCTATACAATTTTAAGTGAAACATATGGCAAACTTAAATAGCAAGACATTTAATACTTGCTTGATTTGTCAGCTTCATGATCATGATACAACTTAATCTCCAAGCTTGAATCATATATTCGCTAAAAAGTATATGTAACATCACGATTTAGTAATTCATACATTTATAAGATATGCAGTGTCGTTTTCATTTTCATATTTCATCTTTTGTCCTAGTAGTGTTTTGTTGGCCCTTAAATTACTGTGCAGACTATTTTCTACATCGACATGTACATGTTCACATTGTGTTTCAATTATAGTGTTGAATTTACTTCTCTAGTCCTCTGATTGGATGTAATGCTGGTTGGTGATGAGATTAAGTCCGATTGATTGAATTACATCTGATCGTCTGATAAGCTGGAGTAACTGATAAGCCGTACTCCAGCCTATCAGCTGATCAAATGCAATTCAATTAATTAAATCTAATCTAAATGTGTTAACTTAAAATGGAACAAAATTTTTCTTTATAAAATAAATATGTATATTGAAATATCATTATAAGCACTGGTCTGGTGAGCTAGTGACAATCAGAAGCTTCTCTAAACAGTCACTATTAATGTTTACAGTAACCATTGACACTGACATGAGACTGTGGTCAGAGTGCAGCAATCAAACTAAACTAGTGGTTAGTTTGTTGTCCTTCCCCCGCACCTCCGATGAGCATGGTTGGACACGAAGGGTGCGAAAGAAGTTCAACTTCTTTAAAATAAAAATGTTGCTAGTTCAACTCCCAGTCATGGGTTACTTAGCAGTCTATCATCCTGCAGGGGTCGATAATATGAGTACCACAAATTACATTGTTGTACTGTATCTCTACGCCCCAACATATATGCTCCCCACCTTCACCAACTACCATCCAGCAGGACGTAGATCGGTCAAAGTGCTGTTCATGCACACTCCCGACGGACCGAGACTGGCTCATCATCGTAGGAATGTGAAATTCCCACCATTGATTCAGGGCCTCAATGGACTTGAGTAGAAGCGCGTTATTTAAGCGTAGTTTTCAAATAGAATTGTCGTAAGCAGAGTATCTTGCAGCCTGGCTATTAGCTGTTGGGGTGGTGCTGGGGGGGGGGGGGGGCAGGCTGGCGGTGTGTGGGACGTGGTGGATAACGAGAGAGGGAGAGACATTGCCTCGTGTGTGCCGTGCGTGCGAGCAGCCTGGGGGAACCTGGGCAACGTGCTCAAGAGCCAGGGCAAGGTGGCCGAGGCAGAGCACGCCTACCGCAACGCCCTGCACCACCGCGGGAACATGGCCGACATGCTCTACAACCTGTGAGTGCCACAAACCCATGGCCAACACCTACACCACCGCCTTGCCTCAAACCCATCCACCTTCTCTTCTGTTAAGAGCCGCTCGCGGCGATGCACGCCCATAATGCAGCACTGTGGACGCAAGGGTTGGTGGATGTCGTGGTGCCATATTCTGGTTTTCCAGGAGAAAGCGGTACCGCAAAAATACGGACTCCCACCTGTTCCACCAGTATGAATGTAGTCCACTCACACACATGAGTTTCCTTCCGGGTGCTCCTGTTTCCTCCCACATGTAAACGCGCATTAATTGGGCAACAACACCTTAACATATATAGACAACTACAGCGCTTCCAGCAATTGATGGTGCAGGCTCACCACCTGGCTGCCTTCCCACTTGTCTGTGGTTCTTTACGCCTTCTGTCTTTTAAAATATGTTTATTACAACTCAACACGAGCCCAGTACGAAGCACCCGTCACGGTGCCGAGGGGCGGGGGAGAGAACAGAAACTCTGTGAGAAAAAGCCCGAATTTGCTGCTCTAAGGCTTAATGAGGGGGGTGGGGGAGGGAGATTTGGGCTCTCTGCTCCACTCAGGTGGGGAAAGATAACTAACAAAGGGGTCAAAGAGACAGGGAAGGGGTGGGGAAGGGGGGAACGGGAGAGGGGGAAAATCACACCTTCTGTCTTAAAGAGTGAGCGAATATTGTGTGGCATGTTACAACTTTGAAATTATTACATTACTGTGGTATTTACTAAGTATGCCAGTACACAAACGTTTAGCCTTTGCAAATGGTCGAGGCAAGTGTTTGTAGTTAGCACGTACTTACATTTTCACAAACAATGCTAGCTAATAATTTATCTTAGCAAATATGAATATATAATGTGTTATGATGCCATTCCACTTGCCAACTTGGTTAAAAGAGAAATTTGCGTCATTATCCTTGAATAAGTTTTGCCATGTAAGGACTGGTTCTGGCTTCATCCCTGCAAATGTTGTTGGTCACGAGAGTTCAGCGAATGTCTCGGGTGTAGAGCGTGCGTTCGGCAACGGTGGCTTTTGGACCGTCTGTGGTTCTGAAATACGTGTTTAGTGTAAGGAAATTGACCTCACAGGTATGTCCAAACATGTAGACCTAATCTAACACTCCTAGAATGCTGCTGATGGGGGACAAAACAAAACATAGATGTGATTGCTTTGTTGCTTACTTTTTTTCCCACAAGCCTGAAACTGCCAATATCAGTGCAAGACTTCAATCATGACTGACAAAAGATGCAGGGTTTGTAATCGTGTAGCTTTCAAAGGGTAATTGTTCAGCACATATCCTACTAGCTTTACTACCCGGTTTCGCCCAAAACTTGGATTCTTGTCTTGGATTAATACACAGCCTATGCGGAGGGTGGGGGGGGGTGACGTCAGTAGGCACACTGCGTGACGCTGCCGCATGCGGGTGACATCACAGATGTGACGGCACCGCTCACTTGCCGTGCAAAATATATCCATTATTGCCCCCCCCCCCCACCAAAATACAAAAGTCTATTTTGAGACTTTTACCATTGTGTCCAGTCCCAGTCTGGAAGCTACCCAGATGCCAAATTTCAAGTTTGTTGCATGTTGGGAAGTATGCCAAGCATTTCGAACAGACACACATATTCACAAATTTCCCTTTTATATATAAGATATGCTGGCTAAGGCTATGTGATTTTCAACAGATTTAAGTCCAGGGATTTAATGTTAGAAGTTTGTTCGGTTTAAAAATGAATAACCATGTGTTTTTTTTGCTGTGTTCTTCGTGGTCGACTAAAAAAGGTGTCGTATATGTTAGTGAGAAACACATCACTGGTTGCAATATGAAAAGTAGAAAACATTTTGTGGCCTAAAATGTTTGGCCTTCTCTTGACATACACATCATGAATGTAATACGGGAAACCCTTGCCCACTGTGGGGGCTACGTCCTTAAAAATAGACGCAATTTGCATATGCATGATCCGCAAATGAAAATTGGAAAACTAGGATTTGGTTCACAGTTCACAAATTTAAAACCCCCTCTTTTTGTTTTTATATTACCTTACATGAACCCAAATATGAAACAGTATCAATCTTGATTTGAAGCTTTCGTGACTGCAGGAATCCATAATCTTTGGTTCTTTCGGTAAAGTCACGTAGATAGAAAATTAATAGATCACAACGTTTCAGTCGCAACACAAGCGACCGTCTTCAGGTGAGAGACGGTCGCTTGTGTTGCGATCGAAACGTCGTGATCTATTTAATTCTCTATCTATGTGACTTTACCGGAAGAACCAAAGAGTATGAAACAGTATGTTTTATGTAAAATAGATCAATATTTCCATACAGTGTTAAATGTAATCTGTACAGTAAATGTTTAGAATGGCAAAACAATTCTAATGAGAAATAAAAATCATGAGGGCCCGCACCTCAATGCCTCCTCACTGGACGATCGGATTACGCGACCTGAGACCCGCGGTGGGCTGTGTGGGAGACGAGATGGAGACAAGATGGCGGCAGCATCATCGCAAGCAGTGCAGTTAGAGCACCTGCACAGTGCTTCTTTACGATGCATCCTGTCCAGGAATCGGGCGGTCGACTGACAATGGTCGAGCCACAGGGGCAGGATTGGCAAACAATACCTCAATATATTTGACGCGGATGGTAAAATCTGCGATTGGGAAATGCACGATGGGCAAGGATTTGCTGTATATTATTAACTAGCTGTACTACCCGGCTTCGCCCGGGACTTGTATCCACCACGGCCGGCCGCCTTTGTCTCCCCAGTGGCGATGTTAATACGCCACACCAGTTACTCGTTTGAGGCTGAGTCGACCTATGGGAGGTTCAAATAATCTTGACCGGTGGTGGCCATGAGCGGGAATCGAACTCGGTTCGCCGGGTTGGTAGCGCAGCGTAGCGTTAACCACTACACCCACCGCTCCTCACACACACAGACGCACAGACACACACACAGACACACACACAGACACACGCAGAAACACACAGACAGACACAGACAGACACACAGACACACAGACAGCACGCTAACCACTACACTACCGCTCCCCACACACCACACACGCACACACACAGACACACACACAGACACACACACACAGACACACACACACAGACACACACACAGGCAGCACGCTAAGCACTACACTACCGTTCCCCCTACACACCACACACGCACACACACAGACACACACACAGACACACACACAGACACACACACACAGACACACACACAGACACACACACACAGACACACAGACACACACACACAGACACACACACACAGACACACACACACAGATACACAGACACACACACACAGGCAGCACGCTAAGCACTACACTACCGTTCCCCCTACACACCACACACGCACACACACAGACACACACACAGACACACACACACAGACACACACACACAGACACAGGCAGCACGCTAAGCACTACACTACCGTTCCCCCTACACAACACACGCGCGCGCGTCCATAGGTACACATACACGCGCTTGCTGCAGACACACACATATACACACACATACACACACATGCATACACACAGACATACACATACATACAAACACACACATACATACACACAAACACATACACAATACACACACACATACATACAGACACACACATACATACACACAAACACATACAGACACATACATACACACATACATACAGACACACAGACATACACATACACACATACACACATAGTCATGACCCGGCTTTGCCCGGGACTTGTATCCACCACGCCCGGCCGCCTTTGTCTCCCCAGTGGCGATGTTAATACGCCACACCAGTTACTCGTTTTGAGGCTGAGTCCCTCCCTCGCCACTCTGCCTCCCTCGCCACTCTGTAGAGGACGTGAAATTTGTATGAATTTACCTCAGAGTGGCGTGTTGGGTGTCGAGGCCTAGCACCGTGCAGAGCCTCCTGCCTTGCCTGATTTTCCCACCCGGCGAACGCTGGGTACGGGTGCCGGTCCCCCCCCCCCCCCGCGCTATTAAAAATGGCGTCCACCCCGCGGAGAAAAGTTGCTACTCGTTGCCAGGGGCAACCGCCGTCCAATGAAAGCGGCGAAGGCGTCGTTAGCTGTTGCCAGGGGCAACCGCCGTCCAATGAAAGTGCGTATGGTCCGAAATCCACACACACATACACAGACAGACAGACATGCACGATTTTATATATATAGAATACGGTTGGGCAGGCAGCAACACTGACAGGTGTGTGTTTATTTAGATAGGTATCCTTTAAACCAAGCCAAATTGTGACATATCCTTTGCGAGTTCTGAGGAAAATTCATAGAGAGTTGCAGGTGGAGGAGTTACAAGAAAAATCTCATCACTACACGAACATTAGTGCAGGCTGGAAAACAATTTTACAACAAACGAGTGAAATTAAAAGCTAAATCGCACATATGTTATGACCAACAGGACAACGTTTTTTGAAAGTCCAAACTGCGCACCACTGCACGATATGCAGAAATATAATTGAGATATAGTTTAATGCAACGTTAAAAAAGAGGCTGATCACGTTGACCCTTGTATGTCAAAATAACCAAACCATTCAGTCAGTAGAGTTTTTAGGGGCTTGTGATCACCATTTCCAGCTGAACATTTTCACCTGTCGTATTCGAGAGAGGAAAATTGTGGAAAATAAAAAGCAAAGCTGCTCTTGGCGAACAGGATGTGTATGGCCGTGTGGACACAATGAGAAGATATATACATTACATGACTGGTTCTGTCAATTTTCTTAAAACTACCCGCTTGCTGCTGGAATTTTTAGAGCCTAAAATAAAATGTTTCGCTCCGGATGATCGCTGCAAAGTATGACCTGTGTTTTGATTTAGTGTGCTGATCTTAAAGGTGCATTGAAAAATTATAATACTCCGATTGATGCTCCTGCTGTTGTGGAGTGACTCATGCAGCCAGCTATGGCTGCAGGGTTTTGGTAGTACATGTTGTTTATGCCATTTATTGTGAAAATT